TTTTTTTTTTCCAATTATGTCGGACACTCCATCATTTTGTGCAACTCCGTTTTATTGTCCATCAAATATTTAGTCAAGTAGTAATTCGTCGATAAGTGTTATAAATTATAATCGAGATGAGTTACAACCCTCGTAACAATACAGCTACATAATATATTACAATGGTCACTACATTTGTCTACATTGTGCGAAATTTATTCAGGACTTTTTAATTTTAGTGCTTAATGTTTTATTGGTAATTTGGTCGAATGAATTGGTTAATATAATCTCTCGTAAAGTTCATCATCTTTTATCCATTCCAGAAGCAGATTCACTTTCGTGCCTTTGTATTTTATTTATGTTTAATGTTGAGTTTGGCACGTGGCCTAAAACACCAACCAGTTTGTCAAACTGGAGCACCACTTAATAATAAGTGCAAACTTTGGGAAAGATTTATTCGTAGTCTGACCTCAATTCAAATTCCTCAATTAACAATTCATTTTTTCCCCTCGAAATTCTGTTTACAAATTTCTCTTGAATTATTCTAGTAAAGTTATTCTAGTCCGATCTGATGGTTTCGTTACAGAAATATGTCCGTGTGCTTGACACAGCTGATAAATGATTGCGATCGTCGGATCTTTGATTGGTTTTATTCTGGTGATTCGAAAGAGATTTCTGAAATTTTGAAATTCACAAAGACTCGATTGGAAAGAAGTCTAGAGAATCTTGAAAACTGAAAAGTCAATTGATTGAAAAATATTTGTAAGTTGAAGTAATAATAATTTGAATAAAAATTCAATTTTTAAAGATAATAAATTTGAGAAAAAATTGTATTTTGAAATAGACAGAAATTTACTTGTCACATGCTTCAAAATCTTGAAGAAATTTCTGTACGATGATAAAATAAACGATTCTGATAGTTTTCACACGAAGTCTCTGCTACGAAAGGAAATCTTCCTCTCTCTTTCTGTTCGTAAGAAAATCTATGTAGATACACGCGAATAAATATAGGAGTTTTCTTGTACACCGCGAACAAGGGGGATACGCTTTCTCCTGTTCGTATCAGTCTGCCGATAGAATTGCGCACGATTAACGCACTAGGAAAATACGCTGCATGCGTTGTACAGAATAATAATTTCTTCAAGGAGCAAAGAAAATCGGTTTCGAAACGCGTCTAAACTGAAGAATTTCTTCCAACTTTATTAATACATTATTTATAGACGAATCAACCCCCTGAGAGACTGTCTTCTAATTTTTAGAAAAGACCGATTTGCTTCAAAAATTTGAGAAGTTGCGCTACTGAAAACAAGATGTAATAATTAGATCTATATTAAAAGTCGAAAGAAGGCTAGAATGTGAACGATTCTGGCTGCAACTTGTGGCTCAATCCTTTTCACTATTATTTAAAATATCTCTCGTAAAGTAAACTTAGCTCATCGTTTACCAACCAAAAGCATCAAAAGGCTCGAGTTCATAAGAACACCAAGATCTCAGGACGGAATCCACTTGGACAAGGTTGAAGAAAACGAGACCGAAGGATGGAGACGTGTTCGCGAGCTCTCGCGATCCGCAAATAAATGCTCTGCTACGAGAACACGTTCACTCCGGGGTTGGCTATGAAATCCATGCAGCCGATGACCGTGTCACGGGCATGTCCAAAGTGTCCGTTCCGTTCATCGACGAGGAACCTACCGCAAGAGCGGCTTCGTAATTGGCAGGTACGGCAACACGATACGCAGGACGCGGAGAAGGCGCACTCTGTCGCCGCGTCCCTCCTTCTCGTTCGTTTCGACGCGGTCCCCCTTATCCCTCTCTCGGAACGTTTCACTGCCCCCAGATCACTGCCCTCCAACCTTCTCCTCTCCAAAGAAGAAGAGCGCGTCTCCTCGGATCTCTGCCTCGTCGTCCACCCCAAAGACCGAGTATCACTTTGCATCTCGTCACGGCGCGCAGCCTGCAGACTGCGTTCCGCATGAAACTTTATATTTGGCGGCCTTCGTTTCGTCGACCAGCGAAAAATCGAGCCGCGAGTTCACCTACCTCTTCCCCCCCCCCCTGCCAAGACCT